CTTATAATCAATAAAAGCAGTATATATGTTTCGGTTTTCTTTTCTAGCTTGTTCACAGATGATGGAATCTATGATTAATTGCTCTTTGCAACCAAAGGATCCTTTAATACATCCTTTCTGTTCTTCATTAATGATGTCAGAGTTAAAACAGTGTTGATAGATTTTTTGTGTAATGCATGAGGTTAATATTTTATAGATTGTCGCTAAACATGTGATAGGTCTGTATTTTGATGGATTTTTTGTGTCGTTATCTTTACGTTTTAGGTATGTTACACCATGACATAAGAATGTTGGAAAGGAATATGGGTCAAGAAGGAACTGATTTAAGTGATATAGTAAATGAATATGTACACAATTTAATTTTTTTGTCCAAAAATTATGGATTTTGTCTGGTCCTGGTGATTTCCAGTTGTGTGTCTTATTGATGGTATTTATTAATTCGGCAAAGGGGTGATAAAATTTGTATATATCTACTGTAAATTTAAATCGTTACGTGAAACCTGATACATTTTAATTCTCTTCAATACAAATAACGAAACACGTATTAGATTCGACCCCTAAGGGGGTGAAAAGTGGTGTCTAAGTTTGGTCGGCTAAGTTTGTATAGGAACAATATTTCTGCTTTAAATTGAAATTTTTACGTGAACCTTGGTATTAATGTTCTTCAACAAAAGTAATGAAACCCGCCTTTAAGCATTTTCTAAAATTCAACCCCTAAGGGGGTGAAATGTGGAGGCTAAATTTGTATGGGAAAATATTTCTATTGCATATTTAAATTTTTACGTGAAACTTGCTATCAATGCCCTTCGAAACAAATAATGAAACACGTATTTAAACATTTTCCGAGATTCAAGCCCTAAGGGGATAAAAAAGGGTGTGGCTAACTTTGTATGAGAAAAATATTTTTATGGTGATGTTTACTTAAAACTTGGTATTAATGCTTTTCAGCACAAATAATAAAACACATATTTAAGCATTTTTCCAGATTCAACCCCTAAGGGGTTGAAAAGTACTGGCTAACTTTGTTTGGGAAAAATATTTCTAGTTTAAAATTAAATTTCCACGTGAAAGTTGCTATTAGTGCTTTTAAACACAAATAACGAAAAACGTATTTAAGCATTTTCCGAGATTCAACCCGTAAGGGGTGAAAAGCGGTAGCGAAGTTTGTATGCGAAAAATATTTCTACTGTAAATTTTGAGGTGATGTTTATTTAAAACTTGGTATTAATGCTCCTCAACAAAAATAACGAGACACGTATTTAAGCATTTTCGGCGATTCGACCCCAGAGGGGGTGAAAAGTGGTGTCTAACTTTGGGCGGCTAAGTTTGTATAGGAACAATATTTCTACTATAAATTGAAATTTTTACGTGAAACTAGAATGTTCCTACTGTCAATTTTTTTGTACTTATAGCCCATAGATTTTATGATTCTGTTCAGTGTTCTCAAGCTTGCAGTGTATCCTAGTTCATTTTTATATGCTTAAATAGATCTACTAATGTGAAATACTCGTTTTTCTTGTTCTTTCATATATATACCTACTAAAATCCTCTTTAAACTGGAAGTCTATGTAGAAACGACACTTTGGCTTTCTACCGGTTTGAGTATTTTGGAAGGGATAATCGGATCGATGGGGGTGTAAAATAGTTCTAACTTGACTTCTTGAGCACTAATGGATAAAATGAAAGGTGGAGGGTGGAAAGAAATACAGCAAAAATACTTTGTAGTTTATCCTCTAATTGACGATTAGACGCCAAGAGACAAAAATGTCACAATTCCAGATGGTATTTGACTATCGCCATCTTCATTTGACGGGACAACAGTTCTAGTTTGTTCTTTATTAAATTGTCCATTTTAAATTTAAAAATTACTCTTTCAACAATTTTTGATTCTGCGCTTAAAACGTGAAATCTCGTCGCTGCCAACCATATCGAATAAAAAATCCAAACAGAGCAACCTTACTTTTTATGAAGTGGACAGATAGAACTGACATGGTTTATACCGGTCTTGTACATGCTATACACGATGTGTAAAATTCTGTAAAACACTAAAAATATACAACAACATACTTACCTGGAAAAAGGAGGCGAAAGGACGAGGATCCTGACAGGGCAGCGTGGGCTTCAGACGCTTGAGTCCGAACAATGAAGGCGCAAGCGGGCGAAGAAGACAGGTTAGGTAACTAGCAAATTCCAAATTCATTTTTTATTAATTAACCCACGCACGCGTCAGAAGAACAGAACGAACGAATTTTAGTAAGTATTTTAAGGAATAAATATTCGATAGTATAGTCTATTTCAGAACTCCGTTCGCCTAAGCCATAAACCGGGATGATTTTAAATCAACAATTATCTCGCAGTAAGTAAGCTTTTACCGCGCTTCTTTTCTTAAAGAACAAGCTGTCGCCTTCTTTTCGCAGGTAAGCGTTGAATCTAAGGCTGTCTTTGTCTTTCAATATAGGGCAAATGTTAAAAATGTCGAAGCACTGCATTTACATGTACAAGAGAAACTGAAATAGCATTTTTTAAAGGTAACCTAAATCTTTATTATTTAAAATTAATAAACCAAAACGAATCGTTTGCTCCATTGTTGCAGTGATTTTTGAGAATTATCATCTCTCAAGCATTGATTAAATACGTACATGTATTTAATCAATGTCTCAAGTGACCGACAGTTGAAAAACCCTGGAATCTGTCATTGTTTGGGTTAGTTTATGGCTTAGGCGAACAGAGTTCTGGAATACACTATAGACGAGACGACACGATATCCGGCTGGCTAAGCGGTTAAGGCGTCCCGTTATTCATTTAAAGTCAAACTGAAATGCATTGACGTTGGCACCGCAAATCAGCCCCGTAGCTAGGGGGGGGGGGGAGATGGGGCTGAGCCCCCCCTACCAGTAGTGGTTGTCCCCCCCTAGAAGACCTACACATTATAAATTTCAAATTAGTAATCAAATTTCAATATAATGCCGATTGCCAAAGCATATTTGCTAGCCCCACCCGCGCGCCCTTTATTTTCTTACAGGGTGTTATTTGGCTATATCACCCTAACGTTGATGTTGACCATGTAAAAGAACGAACTGTCATGTCACATTTTATTCCATAGCCCACTACTAAACATACAAATTGGTTGTTACCTAGTGTTATTGGCCACTGCACGAATTTTTGGATGCAGCACAGCTGTTTGTGAATCTACATTCTCTCCAGAATAGATCGCCCGGCGCATCCAATGATACATCAAAGATTGGCAAACTTGGTTTTTCTGGTTTTTGAAAAGTACCAATCTGTCGAAGTCCAATTCTTTGGGCTTCGACAAGTTTTTACGAAAATTTAATAGCGTAAAAAATCGCCGTTTACAATTATTTTAATGCTCTTTCAAATATAAAAACTGAGAAAAAATAAAGTAGTTATCTGAGTGTATTATTAAAATATATATACATATTTACATGCAGCCCCCCTGAATAAGTTTTCTAGTTACGGGGCTGCCGCAAATATAGAATTTATAGCTTCACAAATTTTTAATATTTGCTGCGTCATAAATTTCACGATTTAATATTATTTTATCTTATAATTAATTTTGAGCGACGTTGACGCGAGCATGAAGGGGTCTTCCGCCGCATGCTTCACGTCAATTCAGTGAGCATAACAGGCCGCGCTTTTCTTCGATCGCGTATATTATTAATAATAGTTACTTATGTACCAAGAGTATTACGAAGTATTTTATGCCCGAGGGTATAAACTTCAAATAACCTGCAGTATACAAAATTTTGTCTTACCGTGTAGTGATTGACATGTGCAAACCGTTTTCTTTGTACAATCTTTTATTGGTTGCATTTACTCCATGAGAAATCTTTTGTTTCTTCGGATTTAAACAGCGAATTAACTATAAAAATACTTTTGAGCAGTTTTGTTACTTGCTGGTGAGAAATAATTTTTACAGACACATTAAAGCCGGATTTATAGTTTGTCCGTATACGCAAACGGACCCGGATGACGCAACGGAAGAAAGTTCAACATCAGGTTTTGCTAACATGCATTTATAGAAACTCCGCCAGGGCTATGAAAGCATCAGCTGTTCCCATAAGAAATACATGGGGAGCTTACGGAACGACATAAAGAGGTCACTAGCGTCTCTAAAGGTGCTCCGACCTTGAAGAACAGTTTCTTTTTCATTTTAAATTTTAAAGTTTTCGGTGATCGTTTTGCCTGGTTTTGTCAACAAGAAATGTCATATTAATTACGGGATCATATGGGATGTTGAGGTTAAAAACAAACGTAAAATTTATTTTAACAAAGTAATAGATACTTACGATACATGTAAAAAATACTAGAAAATTACAGGCTAAAGAGGTCAACAAACTGCAGGTTAAATTTTAGTGTGTACAAAATTCTAACTCTAATAAAAAGTGAAACAAGGTAATCAAGAGGAAAGTCTTTGCAGGGGTGGTGGAATGTTATTTTTTTATGGTTCGTTTTTTCGTCGCATTTATTCGGATTCTTTCGGCACAATAGCCACCCGTATTGGTCGAATGCACGGTCGGATGTAAGCACCGCAAGAACTTGCGTCAGGTACGGACCTGCTTCCGGATGCGGAGTTACTATAAATACATGTTAGCAAAATTTGACGTTGAACTTTCTTCCGTTGCGTCATCCGGACCCGTTTGCGTATGCGGCATAACTATAAATCCGGCTTTAATGTTGCTTGCTATTAAAGACCAAACTAAAGACCGTGATTTCAGCAACATAAATTAGCGCTGTCGACGTATCTACATATACAACCTGCCATCCAATAAGTAATAGTTGATTTCCAGCCGTTTGCGTTTTCTGTTGACATCACTACGGCGACTACTCTTTATTAATACTGTAGGGTATTATCTACTCAATAACGTAACTCAAATCCAGGCTATTATAGGTCATTAATAAACCGATAAAACAAAATAAAATAAACTTTTCTTACTTGTTTAACCTTAACATTAAAAACTCTGTTAAGAAATAAAGCGATATAAATTTAACGTTACATTTTTTTAATAAAAGGAAGCTACATGGAGGAAAAATACATTCAAAATATATTTTCGATTTGCGGCATCGTAACAATTTGCGGACAAGTAGGAACCTATCAATTTTGGATTAAAATTTGTCATGGAGTTTACCACTATACATCTACACATAAAAAAATTGCTTTTAGTTTACTATCGAATTTACAAAATGAAAAATGGTTTTCGTTTTAAGTGCATAAATATTCCATGTTAGTATTTTACATAAAAATATAGGTGACAAATATACGCTTATATCAACTTAAAAAATATAAACATCTCTTTAAATCCAGGTACCTTATATCGCAGTGCTCCCGGCCAACAGCCTTAGCTTGTAAAGTGAATGACAAGTTATTCATTTGCTTTAAATCATTTGGATTCGGCACAGCATATTTCTAATTTCCTTCTGTCCTTTTTTTTTTATACAGAAAAACTGCATGTTAAGAATAATATTTAAGAAAGTTAATTATAATAAAACATAATATTAAAATAAAGGATCTTAGTCTGAGTTACAAATTTATAATTACTGCAGTTTAATTTCATGTTTTGTGCAAACTGCGAAATACAATTCTTGGTTGCGTTGTAATAACAAAAAATGGTGATAGCTTTTGATTATTATCCGACGTAAAATAACACTTCATGCAAACACTGTTACCTGTACGTTTAAGCGCTGGTTTTAAAAAATCTAAATAGTGGCAATCCAGAAGCACTGAAATATTCTATTCGTTCACGTGATTTTTGCAAATCACTCTGTATTGTCGGTACTGGTTATTACCAAGGCGCGGAATAATATCTCACTCGCTCGATCCAGTGTTGCCGCGTCGATAGTTTGATTACAAATATATTTTTCTTTTGAACTATATCAACATAATATAACATTTCAAGATCACAAATCTGTGGTCCTGTGGTTGAAAAATTAAAAAGAGCACCGAGTATTATTATTTGAAGTAATATAGTAATATAGAAGTAGTTTTTTTACTAGCTGTAAACACTCCTAGAGACGCACTGGCTACGACGTTGTGGACCAGATCAAAGCGTCCCCGCTACTCGCCGTAAAACATACCTTACTTCAACTGGGGGATTGCAGCACTGAAATATAATTCCGCGCACTGGTTATTACACAAAAATAAAATTACATTCATGGAAATGGTATACGAAGTACAAAAATCGTACCTTTCTACAAACAATTAGTTGTTCGTACAATAAAATATGGCCTGGTAAACTCCATTAAAGTAGAGAATTTAAACCACAGAAAACTTTAAACAACCAAATAATTATATTTACTTATAAATAGTTTATGACTAAAGTAAACTAATTATAAATATCACATTTTTTGTTGTTGTACTAAAATAGTAAATACTAATTTTTAAATACGTGGAAGCCTAAAATATTGAACCTAAAATCTCAACTGATTGAATAAAAAAAAAAAAACAATCAATAAAATTAATACAACTTTTCCAATTTTATCAATTTCATCATTCTTCCAATAACCTAAAAGTAACAATACCATCGAAGCTTAACCATATGCACCATAAAACATAAATTCAGAAAATACAATACGGTCTAAGGACAATTATTAAGCATTTCATGCAAATATATCCAGAATTCTTAAAATTCGAAAACAATCACTATAAAATAAACTTATCGTCACAACTCTTTATTCGATATTAAAATATGCTTTCTTGCATTAATACCTGACAACATTACAAATTTGAATTTATTATAATATGTTTAATAATACTAAAATAAACAAGTACAATAACCTTATACATAGGTTAAATAAATCGAATTTCGTACGTCCAGAATCATAAATCATTTAATTTTTAATTACCAAATTTAAATTATTAACTACCGTTTGCATCGCAATTTTAATCACCTGATTAACCACACTATAGAGATCATTCAGTAGGGATAACTCAGTATTTTTAGTGACCCGTTTTCATGGGTGGTCGTTTGTATTGTGACTGTATGAGGACGCGCATTACAAGGTACTTGTCTTTCTTACACATTGGAACCTTGAATTGGGGTACTTTCGTTATCTAGTGACTTCAGTCTGAAATATTTGAAATTTGGTAGTTTAGTTGCATTGGCTGATCTTCCGGTGGAATTATTTCGGTTAAATATAATTTTCACAAAGGAATTCTAAAAAGACATTGTTCATGTTTTGTTGGGACCATGGTTTACTAATTGTTTAAAAAAATAAAATGTATATTAGCGTTTCCTAATAACGTTTTTGTTTTTTTATACGTATTTTTTACATTATTTTGATATTCATTACAAAACTACAAGTATCCTAAGAAAACATGTGTGAATTGTGGGAGTAATAAATGTAAATCTGCAACAAATCATCACGTTTATAGATAAAAGATAGATTTCTTTCTTGTCTTTTTGCGATCACGATATTACGATCTGAGCAAAGTAGTGTGTAGTAAATTGCATACACGAATCAATTTTTAAATTTTCAAATGAAGCGATTGTGATACTTTTTAAATTGGGTGGCAACATCTAGAAATAAGGAGTTTAGGCAGCGACCAGCGATGACGGCTTAAAATTCGGGTCAGAAAGATCAAAGGCGCCGAGACGAGGTGTCCCTACTGAATGATCTCTACACTGTGGATCAACGTTATACATATTTTACTCAATTTGTTTGCAAATCTATTAAATTAAGTAAAACATAACGTTAATCCGGTGATTAAAAATAAGGTGGAAACGGACATAAGATAAATGTTGTTTTTTTTGTTCAAAGATGCTATAGTATACATCATTTAATTCAATCATAAATAATGAAACATCTAGTTATTTAAACCATTTTAAAAAGCTACAGTGCTTGAAATACAACTTTGTGCTTGTTACTTGTAACATTAAAATGTGAATTGTGTGAAGAAGGTGATCGACATTTAAATAACATTTATATTAGTCAAACAAGGATTAACTACATTTCTGAAACATGTTAGATAGTAGCAGTTCGTATAAGAAGTGACCGATTTTTATCGTAACTTTAATACCTAATGGTACTTCCATTTATGGTACAACAGTTGATTCAAGTGCACGGTTAACTACAATAAAGAAAAAACGTAAATGACTGAGTATCTACAACTTGCATGATCATTTTAAAGGCGTATTAGAGTCAAGATTTAGATAAACTGTTGTCAATTAAAATATTTAGATATTAATTCACAATTAACGAAGGTAGTTACGCACTTGATGTGTTGGGCAGTGTGCATGCGGTATATAGATGTTAGGCAATATTTTATATACACATACATACTTCTTCATCTCTTTCTCACTATGCTTAAACACACTAGATGATGACACATACAATGATATTTCGAATAAAATTCTCAAATACCAATATAAATTAGTCAGAATTATGAAATGAAAAAAAAATTAATACCTATACAAAATATTGTCTAAAATAAAACTAAATTTAAAAACAAGTAATAATAAAGATGGTCACCATCACAAAGTAATTAATTCAATGGAATAAACAATACTGTAAGCAGTACTAGGTACAATATAACTCCTACTTTTATGTTAGAAATTGTTATTCAGGCCAACACTCTCCAAAAAAACAAGCAAAAGGCACATCGACCAGATTCGAAGAAAATGTATAAATCCATAACATCAACTATTCCAAAAATATGGATCATGGACATTACCAAATTACGAAAATAGAAATTATCACCAAACACATTTGGTTTTAATCAATGTACAGTATGCCCATAGAATTTGACAAAATTGCTCAAACAGGTCAATTTATTTTTTATGGAATGTACATTTAAGAATAAAGCTGATTTTTTTAATGATGTTATGAAAGGTTTGAATGAGGTAAGTATTACGTTTTCTAAAGACAACTGCATTTGATTCTGAGACTGTCAGTTTTATAAAGTTTTAAATGTTAAATATAAAGTAAATGTTATTAAAAATAAGTAAAACAAGAAGAGGAGGAAATAAACACAAAGAATTTTTTTCAAAATTTCAAATATGTTGCTGACATGTACTCCTTGAGAAAATAATTTAGGTTGTGGGAGTAGTTTTATAAAATTCAATTAACGTTCGATTTTTTTCATAAAATGATTTCGAAATGTTTACATTTTTCCTGCATATACAGGGGTTTTCTTTTATTTGATAAAACCATTTTAAGAGATCTATGTGATCTAAAAATCAAAAGCAACCAATATTTTAAAATCAATACTTAAAAAGTTATTCAATAAAATAGACGAAAAATGCATAGTTATTGATGACAATCTGGTAGCTTGAAAAACTGACACTTATGTTATTTATTCATATAAGTGATCTTGTAAAACGATACAAATTTGCTCAAAGAACTATATGTTTATCCATCAAGAATTCTTAATACTACTCAATTCTCTGTAACTTTTTAAAATATGTACTTTTCGGCCTCTTCCAATCTATTTAATATATTGTTATGAATAGACTGTATACAGCAGTTTTGCTACATATTTTTGTAATTTAGCACTGGATGGATTAATATAATAAATACACAAACAAGTGTTTTTTACAAAGTAAAAAAAGGTAAACACGTACAAAAAAAGATAAATAAGTAAATAAAATATGTTACATTTTATGGCACAGAAATTTCAAGGGAAATTTCTACCCCATTGAAATGTGAATTTTTAACTTGTGGTGACCAACTTTTAATATGGGAACAATCATAATTTTAAATATACGTTTGGCATAAAGCACTTGTCGCAGATAATAAATTAGTAAATCTAATATTTTCTAATTTTATTACAAGATTCTTCTTTGGTGCGGTGTCATTAGCAATATGAGCCATAACAACTTTTTTTTTCAAAGATTCACATGACCGATAAAAAATATTATATGACTAGCTATACAACTAAATATTATCTTTCTGTTAAAGCAACGCCATACCTGTAAACCACCAGATCTTTATTTTTGAAATCTAGATAAGCTGTCATATGAAATGCCATATTTGTTAGTACGACTGTATATTCTGCCAAGGCAAAACCCGAATATACTGAAATTATATTAATTCATGATACATTGATACTTATTAAAAAATCTACATTCATACAATTTTATGTCTATTGCTTTTCTTAACCATATGTATACGCATGTATTATGTTCAATTAAATATCAGGTGAGCAACATATTTCATACTTGCAGTTAGGAGTGTTTTAGAAAACATGTCAGTGCTTTCTATCTTAACCTATTTCTCTCTAGCTGTCAAAATTTTGAATGTGAACCACGGTTGTAAAATACACAGGTTTATACACTAGCGCCTTGGGATGGCAACATCTCATGTCGATCCCTATATCCATGGAAAGTACGCGTACATTTAGCGCCTCTACCGTGTAGTGCTGAAATCATTCTAGTTACTTTATGAATTTTCGTTTACACTGCTTTGTAAATGGCAATTAACACTACTAATTTTTAAAAAATGATATTTGATCAGAGTCGATAAGTACGATTTCATTTATTAATTATTATATGGGTTATAAACAGATGTCCATTGTATCTGTAGTCCCTTGGTCGGCAATCAGCGTCGGGATACATGGATATATGCTAGTGTGTCAAGCTAGCTATTCTACAACCGTGATGTAAACTTTGACAATTCCATGACTTTTTACATAATCGTATCCATTAAGCAGAGACTGAAAGCTTTGCTACCAGAATCGATCTACCTTGCTCACCCCATACAAAATAATAGACATTCAAAAACCACGTAGGTTAAGAGTCATAGATAGGAAGCCGTCGTTTCCATGGTTACACCTATCAAATTGAATTATAGCATATTTTTTAAATGAGTGAACAAATTGTTAACATGAAAATGTGTATTATGAATTGCCGAATTTATTTTAATAATGTTAATACATAAAAATTTGTGTTTCCATTTTTCTGGCAGCAACTGTACAATGTAACGCTAGTTTCAAAGCGATGCTATAGTACCGGTACTATAGTCTATTTTTTAAGGAAATATTTATTCAACCTAAAATAGTCAAAATAACAAATTTCATGTGTTAAACAATTTTGAATCAATGTATGTTTTGCAAAAAAAAAAAAATAATAATAATAATAAACCTCGACATTGACATTTTTCCCAAAACGTTGTTTTCTTAAAATCACATTATTGTTAACCTCAAATTTTGTTAAATTTATTTTAACATGTAATCTTGGTTACACATTTTATTCGAAGTGAAAATATAATCGCCCTTAAAAAATGAACTATAACAACGAGAAGGTAATGATATATATTTAGCCTGGGCCACTTCTCATAAACAAATATGACAACGGTTGCCATGACACAAACTAGGATGTTTAACATATAAATACACCAAGTTTGATCGCAAAAGTTTGTCGGTTTTCACTCACGGTTTTTTTAAATATGTCAGGCAAAATTGCAATTTTGATAGAATTGAGTACAGATCTGTGATAAGGTACCTTTTTATTTCCCGAGCGACTAGCTACTTTCATGCTTCTCGAAGTTTCATGATCTCGCAAGTACGAAAAAATTAGTCTCCTGTTTATGTCTGTAAAAAGTAAAACGCTGGCCAAATTGATCTAGTTATCCCCAGCAACAATGGGCTGACGTTTGCTCCAAAATTTATAATAATAAATGTAATTTAAATTTTATAAAATAAGATACCCCTGCATTTGTGGTTTATGAATGCGTGTTGATTTTTTACACTGCAGTGATATATATTTTTTTTAATCCGAAAATGTGCAAAATAAAGTACGTTTTCGGTTGCAGTACTTTGATGTGGTTATGCAACGTTTATTGTTATACTTTTATCCAAAAAGAACTAAAAAATATATATTTTAATAGAAAATGATAAAAATGCAATAATTAAACAAAACTGAAAAAAAAAATTAAGTTTCCAAAAAAGCAAAATCAACGATCATTGACACACTTTAAGGACGTTAATAACGGGTATTTCCCCCATGAACCTGCAAAAACTACCCCCATTCACCAGGGCATCCCATGAAACAAATTGTTTATTTATTCTTGTTGGATATTATTTCATTCCTTTAACAGCATAATTCTGAAGCTCATCTAAAGTTTGGGGTGCAGGTATGCTCAATTAATATACTGGTCAAGAAACAACACAAATAAGCGTAGTAAAAACGTCGATCCACTGCACTCAGAAAAATATTAGCTGGTCCGTTTTTCAAGCCGGTAAGTGCATATATCTATTATACTACTTAAAGCGATTGTCATAAAAAAATTAAATTGTATAAAAATATAGAGCTTTTCAAAGAGGATTTATTTACCATAATTAGGCCAAATCACGTAGATGGTTAAACGCTAACAAAAAGTTGGCTAATCAACCTCGTCAACAATTTGATTACGTCATTTCAAAGAATTTAAATGTTATACAACAATATACTCCAATACATATTTGTAGTGTACGAATCCGCTTTGAGTTTTTTCCCTAAACGTACAAATATTCACAAAAAAATAACACTGTATAATAACAGTTTATCACTAGCGGCTCAGTAGGTTCGCCTCGACACATGAACCAGCGGTCGCACAATGCTTTCAATCGAAACTTGTTTAAATTTTTTTTTAAATCACGAGAGGTCTTTGTACAAGTGATATCACTGCAAAATTTGAAAAAAAGTTCGACGTGTAGTTTCTAGGATAAATTCCAACATTTATGCACAAATATTATATTTTCCAGGAAATAAAAGAATGGTCTAAAGTTATTGAGACATAACTTTCCTTGCACAGGCGAACAAATAGTTTCTTTGAAAAATTATAAAATTTAATTTTCTTTATAACCCCTATAATTATATATCAATCAATTTTTTGTAGGGGGATAAACATACATTATAATTAGGCTTCGGATCTTAGGTTTTTTGCCTTTTTATATCTACTTCAGGCATTGCACCGAAATTTATATATTTATCCGAATTTAAAAAAGTCTGTTTATTTAACGCCCATTTATTACTACCTAAAATACCTAATTTGCCGTTAGGGACCTAAAGTGTTAATTAAACGACCTAATTGTAAATTTTAAAAGACTTAAAATAGGATTCCACGACCAACGAAGCGGACGTGCTTGCACAATAGAGATTTTCCGTGAATTCATTGTTTTGGCTGGCAGATTGTTTTAAAAATGGGTTGTAAACAACGCCCTTGAGTTTAATAGTACGCGTTGGCGTCGCCAACTGACAACGCTGGCCTGCATTTCATTTAGATTGTAGCCGAAAGGAGGTGAATCTCTGAAACAGCATTTTCTTTTAGAAGTTTATTGTTAGTGATACTGAGTGTCTTTGCATGTTAGTGAGTGTGCTGGGGCCGGTTTTGATTTTTGTGCATACAGTAAAGAATCCTCAAAATGCCTAAGGTAAAATCATCCATGAAAGATAAAATCAAATTATGGTTAGGGAATAATTTGGACACTGATCTTCAATTTCCTTCTTCAACCAAAGACAATACGTTATTCTACAAAGTGTGTGGAAAAGTTGTAAGTAAACATTTAAAATACTGAAGCTTGAATTGTGTTCACATTTTTGTTTCCTAGTTTAAGTGCGAAAAAAAAACACACTTTGAACAACACTGCAGTGGCGATGCACATAAAATGGACGAGAATAAATCCAGTAAACAGACTTTATTAAACATTAGTTCCGACAATGATTTTACGCAAATTTGCACCGATTTATGTAGGGCATTTACCGCAGCAAATATTCCATGGAATAAAGTTAATTGTCCTGAGTTTACAAATGTTATGCATAAATATACAGGAAGGCATTTACCCCCAGAAAGCACTCTGAGAAAAAATTATTTACCAAAAGATTACGATATGGTGAGCACTAGAATTTTTATTTAAAAATTTTTAAATATATTGAAATTATATTGATTATATTATATAATAAAGTTAATTGTCCTGAGTTTACAAATTTTATGCATAAATATGCAGGAAGGCATTTACCCTCAGAAAGCGCTCTGAGAAAAAAATATTTACCAAAAGATTACGATATGGTGAGCACTAGAATTTTTATTTAAAAACTTTTTAACATAAATTTTATAATTTACAGGTAATTAAAGAAATTAGAAATTCTATTGGCAATAATAATATGTGGATTAGCGTCGATGAGACGACGGAAAAATTAGGAAGATACATAGCCCAATTAGTAATTGGAAAGTTATCTTCTGAAGAAGCTGGCCGTCCATTTCTACTAGCTTTGAAGCAGTTTGATAAAACTAATAGCAACACAACTTCGAGATTTATAAACGAATCATTGGGTGTGCTATTGATAATTTTAAGCATTGAAATTATTATAATTTATTTAATTATTAATTTGCAGCTTTATTGTGGCCAAAAGGAACTGAACACAAAAAAGGTTAAATGGTTTGTATCAGATAGTGCTTCATACATGATCAAAACTGGTACTAATTTGAAGGTGTTTTATGAAAATATAAGACACGTAACATGTATGGCACATGGGTTACATTTAGTGTCTGAAACAATTAGACTGAATTATCCAGATGTCAATGAGATAATTAGTAGAGATGTACCGACTGCAGTCGGCCGACTAGTCGGCTTTGTCAAAATCGGTTAAAATTAGTTTAATCGACCGAAAATTGGTGTCAAAGTGTAGATAATCTTCCGCTAGTTACGATTCTGAAATCGCCGTCACGATATATGGTCCAATAAACACGCAGAGCGAATTCAAAATTTCCAAAAATTTTCCAAAAAAGTGGTTAAAATTGGTTAAGTATTGTATAAACTGCCCTAAATTGTGTTATTCTTTATTTTTGTACTGAGTTACTACAAAAAATTAAATGTTAAAATTATCCAAAAAAATTTAACACATTTTTTGGAAAAAAAAGAAACTTTAGTTATTCCTTTTATTAAAATAAAACAAGTTTTTAAGGTAGTCAGAGAAATAGAAAAAAAAAAACCCACTGTCTGTTGCATTTATAAACAGTCGGCCGACTGTAGTCTGTACATCTCTAATAATTAGCAATGTTAAGAAAATCTTTTTAAAAGCACCAATAAGAGTTTTATAAAAACAGTTTACCAAATACATCTCTCCCACTTGAACCTGTATTAACCAGGTGGGGCACTTGGTTTCAAACAGCATTGTTTTATGCAGAACACTTTGATGTTTTAAAACAAGTTAGTAAATATATAATGGTTTTTTACTATCCTTCTTATACTGAATATTTTTAGGCTGTAATGTCATTTGAAGCCACAGATGCACAAAGCATTAAAAAAGCTCAAGAATTCCTGAATAAAGCAAACGTTAAAAATGAACTCTTGAACATTAAAACTCACTTTAAAATTATTGCTGATGCAATAGAACAATTAGAATCTATAGGTTTAAAATTAAACCAAAGTATGGAAATTGTGGAAAAAGTGTATACATCTTTAAAAAACACACCAGGAAAGGTGGGGGAAATGGCGTTCCAAAAATTATGTTCTCTATTAAAAAAGAATCCAGGATACGATTTTTTATATTCCGTAAATAACGTAATTCGCGGTAATGGAAATGCTACCAACAATATATACATAAATGAAAACGTAAATTGTTCAATATTTAATTTTGCACCCATCACTTCTTGTGATGTGGAACGCACGTTTTCAAGTGTTTTAAGCGATCAAAGGTGTAAATTTACAATCGAAAATTTAGAGAAATATATAGTTTGCTTTTGTAACTCATTTTAAATACCTGAATTAATATTTTATTTTTTGTTAAATGCGATTTGCTTTAATTTGATCGCCATTTTTTGCGATAACTTAGAATTTAGTGGACGTAACTATAGATCGTTTGTTTATTTAATCATTTTTTTGTTTGTTATACAAAATATTTGTTTCTATGTTTTGTTTAATGTTTTGTTTTTTTAAATATATATATTTTTGATGTATGCTTTTTCGTTGAGCAAATATTTTTTCCTGCAGGTTTTTCAACTTAAACTAAGATTTTTATAACCTAATTCGTCAATTTTGGAACCTAAAAATGTCTCCTTTTATTCATTTTTTAACGACCTAAAATCCGAAGCCTAATTATAATTAACGATTTACTATGCCTACGACAACCTTACAACGTTTGCAAGATTTCAGAGCACTCGGTTTTGCAGTTTTAAAGTCAGATTGCAAAATGTTGTTATAAAATAGTTTTTTTCTTTCCCCAAAAATCTGGTTGTGTAGAGAAAAGATCAAGAAGCACACCTGTAGCAATATGTTAATATCTACACGATATTCCTAACATACATCTAAAATTTGACAAAAATCGCTGCGGCAGAACAGATGGAAACAAGAGATCTATTGTCTCGTACCTTAGGGGTCATGAAATGTCCAGAAAACATGAAAGTGGCCATTCGTCCGATGGACTTATTACAATACTTCCTTGGCTTAAACACATGAAGTAAAAATTTTAAAATAATGAATTTAGTAGTTCCAGTTATGTATTCACGAAATTTCCGAAAGAAAACTGTTCCTTCGGTCTTTAAGATTAAATTAACTAAATTTGTAAATCTTTGGAATGACAAATTTGTATAACTCAACGAATGAATACCATAGAAAAACAAAAAAGGAAAAATGTTACAAATAATTCAAAATCAATAGACATAAAACTGTATGAATTTGAATTAATAAATTGTACTTACCATAAGGCTCACAATACGAATTGTGTCGTAAAAAGCAGTAAGTTGCTATTAAAATTGATGATATGTTCGTGATGAGAAGTCTTTTTTTCCATTTCAAACTTTCTTTATGACGTTTTTTGCATCGTCTTTGTAGAATATAAATTAAGATCATGTAAAATTCTGACATCAATATGAAGGTAATAAAGGCTTTTTCATGAACAGCTGAAAAAGAATGTAAAAAATAGGTGTCACCTTAAGGAACAAAGCGAATTATTATTAAAACAAAAGTGTAAAAATAAACTGCACAAAAGCGAACCCAAGAAAGAAGTCAACACTGTAAAGTTTTTGTGAACTCCGTATTGTAATTATGGTTTTAGATGCAACTACCTCTTTCCTGTATATTTTATCCAGCAAAACGACATATACCGTTTTTCTACTACCAAATACAAAATTCACTTTAATAATATAATCAGTCACCGATGGGCAGATAACTGTAAAATTACGTTGCATACTTACTGGAAAATAATTTTCAAAATAAGGAGAAGGTTATTTACGAGAAGTTCCTCGCCTAAAATATTTAAAACGCAATCAATAATACAACTGCACAGCAGTTTTACACGCGTTTTACGCGTCACAAATTATTCCAAAAATTACTGTGTACCAAAATTAATGTTAGAGATTTTTCAGTCTGTATTTTGATGGTAACGTACGTTTGTTTACGTTCAAAATGTAGACAAATGGTCATGTTTTGAAGGTCTGCATAATTTCTTGCCCACTTACTATCAAAATATTGAATATTTTTGAACTAATTCTGTGATGTATAAAACGGCTCTCATTATAATTTTTAAAAGTAAAACATTGTCAACTCTTTGTTTTTGGTAATTTGGAAATAAAGATGAATTTTAGGTTAAAAAAGCAAAACCAAATAAACTAAAAAAAAAAAACAGGTTGGCAGGATGTTCTCGATGCAAACGGGAACCAGTAGCCATATTTTTGTGCACTCACCATATATCAAAATCATATTAGTCTTTTCATCGTTTGTACATATTTCTATCATTTTGCGCCGAAATGTCAATTTTAACATGGTAGTATTTGACACAACGTCAGTGTCGTTGCAACAACTTTTTTAAAAAGCGGTGTGAAATATCAAAGATGGTTCTAAAATTATTGTACTCATTTCTGGTTGCGTTTTGAATTTTTTGTACGCGGAGCTTCTCGTGAATAACCTGTAATTTTTTTTTATTTTCGCAATAATTAAAATTCTTAATAAATACTGTAAAAAAACACGTTTTTTCTGTGAGTACTTAATGTGATGTTATACCAGGGCTGGCTAATCTGTTAAACAGTTGCTGAAATTAATACATTTAACTCAGAACTGGAATTACACTTTTCATTAAGTAACAGTAAATTTTGACAAAAAAAATAGACTGCAGAGATATTAAAAATCTTCACACGTATCTCTATTATTTTTTTGAAGTTAAAATCCTTGGAGTTTATGTTGGTTTAATATTACAGTGTGGACTTCTGTACAATTGACTTTTTAACACACAGTTAGCTCCAGTAAACAGATTTGTCATTTTGAGTAAAAGAATATCAATACAGATGAACAAAAATGGTCCACTAGTCGCCAATATCGTCAAAATCAGCGGTTTACGTCATCCTTCATTGTGCATAGTAGACAATAAAAAAGACAGTTTCTACTTCCGCGCCAACTAGAGACTGATTTTTGTTAATCGTATTTTATTTTTGGAATAAACTCGCACAAACTATAAAACAATAATAATCTGCGAAAAAAATCTAAATCTTACTTAACGTCTGATCCATTTATTTTATTTATATTATTATTTGTTTCAAATGTTTTAATAAATTTCCTGTACGTACTAGGTATATTTTTCTATAAGATCAACAAACACGTACATTTTAAAAGTCTTTGATGTAGTAATTAGTAGCAGTAATAGTTCACAAAAATATAGAGTTGAATGAAGTCACCTCATTATAATAAATCTTGAATGTTTAGCTGTAGCTTCATGTATGTTTCAAACTGTTTCCTTTAATACGGTGCCAATGAACCTGCACTGACGAATGCAATAAACTTACGATAATGTTGTGATGATGTCCAAAAGGATAATATAATCAGAGCAATGTTTTCAATAACATTAAGAACACATGCTACAGTTCCCATCCATTGGTCATGTTGGTACAAAACACTTTGGTGGTGTTGTAAGTAAACAAAGGCAATGGAGAATCTTGGCACTGCATGTAAAACAATGGCCACTTGCCAGACTTGTCGTTGCGGTGAAAAATTTCCAATAGCGGCGGAGATGGACGGTAAAATATTAAATACTTGACAATGGGTGTATGTTGCATTTTCAAAATGAAACACCACGGAATAGACGATACAGAATAAAAACGCGAACAAAGGTAAACCAACAGTAATTATTGAGAATTTTTCAAAAGGTAAACGTAAGACCGTGGAGGTCTCATAATCACTGTATAACAACGCATACCGAGCTTCATTAGGCATTATTCGTCACACGTTCAACTCAAACTTAATTTAAAAATCACTTTCATTAGTACATTTTAGGTTATAACAGCTGTTTGGTTTGTTGATTGTTGATGAGCATTCATACTAGTCACGAAGAGTGACGAATACAAACGAACAGAGGAATCATGCGCTGGCTGGGTCTGGTCCCTAGTGTTGACCACGTGTTGACGTTGCCAGCTGTGGTTGACAGCGCGGGGGCAACACCATTGCAAAACATCACCACAGTAGACATCACTTCGTACTTCGAAATATTTGGAATAATCTCAATGTGAGTACCTTTTACTTTAAAATAACCTGGAGGAAATGGAAACCCTTGAATGGATCTAGTAAAGTCGGGACCATTAGTATAAAACCACTCCCTAGTGTAAGTTTTCAAAATTTGTTGAGTGTAAGTTGAATTAATGGGTTTTGGTGAGATTTTTGGGGGAAATCTTCTGTTAGGTTATGATGCTGTCAATAATTTGTCAAATAGGGACTTGTAAAACAGCAAAATGATAAAGAGTATCCAAATATCTGTTGATCAGCACAGGTGGTTACCACTTACGCAGATACAAAATTACCGAAGACTTCTGTATAAAAACAAGTCAAAAAGTTGAATAAATTAACGTATGTAAGTATGCCAAGAACTTTGAGAAACATATCCAAATCCAATTTCTACGATATTCATGTTGAGTTAGCAGTGACTGGAAAATACTTGTAGGTAAATTATAGGCCAAGGTAGTGAAGTAAACAGTATATATGTCTCTTATCTATGCTGAAGATAATCATTAGATAGACTGAACGCAGATTAGAGCACGAGACGTGAAGCGTCAAGGATTATTGTAAGCGTGAGGTCTATATATCTTCACTACCGTGGCGTAGGTATATGCTATTTTTTTTCACTAGTAGCGCACTACAAAACACATTTGAAAAATTTTCGATTTATTAAAAGGAACATAACATCACTAACATCACCTAACTAGGTTTTGATGTTTTCCGTCATTATTTTTCGACGTTTGAAAAGTTTTGGTTTCATGTTGGTTTGTAGATGATGAGGTTTGTAAATTCAAATTGTCAATTAATTTGTTATTTTTTTAGGAAATATATCAAGCTGTGAACTATGTACCCCTCTAGAGATACTGTTCCTCGTGAAAATGATTTAAAAAATCTGGTAATAATCGCCAATTTTCGTTTGTTAAGGCGTTACATAACCTCAATCTTTATTATAGACCGTTAAAATAGAATGGTTATTGACCCTCGGTGAACATTAACTTCACTTCCATTAGCCAAATTTAATTACCATTATGGAGAAAAATGAATTTATTACTCACAGACAAAGCATGATAGTGGTGCATCTCTACGCTACTAGTGAAAAAAATTAATTATACGCTTGTAGGTGCGTAGGTATTTCGATTCAGGTCAGACAACAAACAATACTCAATTCCCACCATATATCAAATAAAGGAAATTATCTTGTATGTATATCCTGCCACGCTGACTGTTTAAATTTAAGATGGTTTTCTTTACTTGATGAAAAAAGTGTTCGAGTGACAAAACGTGGCAAACCAATTTTTCTGTACTTTTTGTACTTATGGATTTTCCAAATGGTAAAATTTTATACACATCTGATAACTAGTCATCATTAGTTTTTTTTCAGTCTCTCAAAAGTTTGAATCCTTCGAAAAAGAGCATTAAAAATGCTTGCAGTTAAATATTTATTTGCAAACACAACTGCTAAATTTGTTTACAATTACTAAAAAATGTTTCGACTTCAAATAGGACAGCTACATGGAAAAGAAGACAGTGAAACTCATACATAGAAAAATGCCCCATGGAAACTAAAATTCAAAATTTGTAGTACACACTTGAATATAGCTGTGGTTAAATCAAAAACTTTGTTTCAGAGGACAGGTGTGTGTAAGACATCTTTCTTTGAATTGCTTAATTGTGCTTCATAGTATATGATTTGTACAGCAAAAGGTTTTTATTACAAAATCTCTAACACACGAAACAGCAATACAGTTTTATGAGGGAAAAATACAAAATTGTGAGTAGTTTTGAGAGTCAAGGCTCTATTTACATTATGCATTTTAGGCAGATGCTTATAATAAAATAAGTGACTTCATAACTTCCACTTGACAGTAGAATTAGAACAGATCCAATATAATACAATGCAAACATAAGATGTGCATGTCCATGCAAATGAACATTTAAAAACAAATTGAAAGAGAAATAATAAGAAAGGTGGACTCATAACTTAAGAGCAGCGTTTGAACAAATTTAATATTATCACAATGAACTTAATAGGTACTGTGTATATTTTATGCAGATAAGAATACAAAAGACAGAAATGAGATGGGTGAACTTATAACTACACCAGTGTTATTGGAACAAATTTATTATAGCAATATGATAAAAACCTACTGTGGGATATTCATGCAGAGAAACAAGAAAGGACTAGTGAAATCTAATTTATCATTCTCAGTGATTACTTTAAAACGTAAAAAAAACAATACAATACAGTGCAATTGTATAGAGATTAATAAATTTCCCGTTCTATGTAGATTACCAAAACAGTTAATCAACAAATTCTACTGTAAGAAGCTCCACATCACTCTGATTTTCAGATTCTGTTGTTTCTAACAAACAAATCTTTTGCTCATCCTTGCATACTATTTTTCTTTCATCTTCTTCTTCACTACATTCAAGCAGATTCTCATCCTCCAAGGAAATATCGTCTGCAGATTCTGATCTAAAGCTTATAATTGATTCATCATCAGAATCTGCGAGTGATATAATTATCGGTGGTATATCTTGCACGCCTTCATTCCCCATCAATCGCACCCAGTCTTCTTTCATTATTTGTTCACAATGTTTAACACTATTTAGCCACATTTCGGGAGTATATTTAGACAGTGCTTTTTTCCATAAATTAGCAACTTTTAATTTTCCTGAAGGCTGTTCAAGAATATGCTTGTTGTAATATTGTTTACAAAAACCCCATACCATTTCAATGGGGTTGTACTGACAATGGTATGGGGGAAGTCGTAATACTTGTATGCCATTTTTGGATAGCAACTCGTCAATTAAGTACTTTTTTCGGGAAAGAATATTAGGTTTTATTATTTCATACAATTGCTTTTTCGTTAAATTACTATCAAAGGGAATTTCGTTTTGATGCAACCAAAGTTGTAATTTTGACTTTTGCCAAGAAAAATTGGGGAGCTGTTCAGCATGGACTGAATGATACGGCGCGTTATCCATAATAACAACCACTTTGCCGCTCATCTGTTTGACATTTGGAATTAGTTGTTGCTCAGTCCATTGCTTAAACAGGTCCCCAGTCATCGTCTTGTGATAATCTCTGCTATCTACTTTGCTATCCAAAAATAAATCGCATCCTTCGAGAAAACCAAAATTTGCCCCCGGCGTGAAGTATTGTGAATCGCTTTCCTTCATTCATGCAAACTTTCTCTGGCATACCCCTTCTATCACCTTCAAACACCCACCTTCTTACAGCAGAACCATGTTCATAGATCCACGTTTCATCGAGAAAAACGAACGTTACATTCTGATCTACCAGTTGCAAATATTGCCTTAAAAATTTAATTTTTTGGGATTGAAGTCTAGGTCCCTCAATTAAAATTTTTCGGTTATTCACTTTCTTGTACCTGTACCCCATTGATTTTAAAATGCGTTTCAGTGTTGTTAAACTCGCTGTGTATTCTAATTCAGTTCTTGCAAATTGAAATAAATCCCTTGCGGTGAAATATTCATTCTTTTTATTTCTTTGGTAGATATGTAGGCTCAATTCTTCTTTAAATAGGAAATCAGTGTGAAATCGACATCTTGGTTTTCTGCCCGTTTGGGGATCAAGAATAGGAACGCCGGCATTATTTTGGGAAATTATGGTTCGGATCTGACTTCTTGAGCACTATAAAGGATAAGGAAATAATGAGAAATTAACGGTTGTGATTGGCGGGTACATAGGACAGAATATCTGAAAGCCGCTGCTTATTCAAAAGGAGTACTGTACCGAAAATATGGTTGCGACTTTCTCTTCCAATTGTCGAATTGACAAAGTGGGACCGAGATCGCCAATTTCTCGGTAACATTTTACCACAGCAGTCTTCATTTTTTGCGACAGCAAAGTTCTTTTATGTCGGGAAGGCATAATATAGCTCTAAAAAAGCACGACTCGAACTTTTCGAAAATTATTGTTGCGCCTGTCAACTAGCTGTTAACGCGAAGCGTCATGCGCGCTGTCGTTACAAACCGCATTGATCATAAAATACTAAACGGCAGTGCTGCCAACTTTACTTTTTATCCGATGGTTTTATAGTAACGGTCCCGACTGTACTCCCATTTGACGTCTAGAAGTATTATGGTGGAAGGTTTGTATTTTTGTTAATTTTTTGTTTATAACAAAATTGTTTTTTTATTTTATTGTTAATTTTTGAATTGTATATATAGTCTTTTAATGTTTAATATACTTCGTTTGTAAAATTTTATGAATTTTATTTCTTTCCATTAATAAAACAAATAAGTAGTGGTAGGCAACCGGTATGACACGATGCTGGAGTATGCAACTGGCAATACACGTAGCATGCATTTATTTGAATTTCCCACACTTTTACATCGCAACATGACGGTCGAGAAATGTCACTGCTGCTGCCAATGAAATACATGGAGCCTGCGCTTGTTCTATAGTGACTGTTCTGTGGTTGACAGTTAAGTCAGGGCTATGAAAGTGTCAGTTGTTCCCATAAGAAATACATGGGGAACTTACGGAACGACATAAACAGGTCACTAGCGTCTCTAAAGGTGCTCCGACCTTGAAGAACATAGTTTCTTTTTCATTTTAAGGTTTTCGGTGATCGTTTTGTCTGGTTTTGTCAACAAGAAATGTCATATTAATTACGGGATCATACGGGATGTTGGATTATGGGGTTAAAACATGGACCTACTATTATTGGACTGCTCGTGCCCGCTCTAAACTGTTGTCAACATGATCAGGCAACACACAATACCCATTCGGGGCAACAGCATCATTGGTGTAAATTGGCGCGAACCCCATTATGGCAAAAAACTGGGGCACTTCGTTCATTTTGGACTGTTTTCTATAAAATATTAAATTTTTAGTTAAATTGTTATGTGTAAATGACATTTTATCCACTGTGGTGAAGCCTTGTGTGGCATTTAACTGCCAACAAAGATACGGACAAGATCCCACGGTTTCATTTCACAGGTTTAGTAATTACTAATTATTACAACTAATTACATTATTTTTACTTCCTTAGCAAAGCTAAGGGAACTGTTGTAATAGGGCAGTTTTACTGTTACTACATATAAAATTACTGTTGTTCAAATTTTACTTTTTCTATTTCAAAACATAAAATTATACTCATCCTAATCGCTACCTACGGCCGAGAATAACTGATCCTGCTTAATTCATGATATAAGTAAATTTACTTGTATTATGGTTTAATTTAAGAATTAAGACATTAATTTAAAAAATATATTTTGCGAATTAAACGATCACATCGTAAATCAGGATCCATTAAATAATCACCATATTCAACTAAATTACCTTGTTCTAAAAATTTATTTCGCAATTCGGATTCGTCATCGAAATAAGCGGATAACGAAATGAATTTGATAACAGGATTAGACACAGATATTCAAAATTGATATCAATTAAAATTCGGTAAGTATATGTATATAATTTCGGAGGCTTCTACGGTCGGAATAATATACATATACATACATATACTATACATGATCGTTTTCTGGGTTGGAACCGTGTAAACTTAACCCGGAAAACGATCATGTATAGTGTATGTATAAATATATTAAATCGTTTTAGTAATTAATTTCAAAATTATATCACATTATTATGACAGTCTTAACAGATTTTTCAAAGTCTGTTGAGATTCATAAAGTTTGTTCAATAGTTTTCCGTTTCAAATCTATTAATATAAAATGTTCGACCTTTGTAACGACAAAAAAATGTCTTTTTTGCGTATTAGCTATAAGATTAAATAAATATTTGTTTCAAGCAATGTTGTTTGTGATTATATATGTTAATTAGGTGCTAAACAAACATTAAATAACTCTAGTGTTTGATGTAAAAACCAGTGGCGGCTCGTGACTGTCTGATGTGGTGAGGCGATGATAGAAGTTTGACAATAATAATATCAATAATAAAATTAATTAAATTAATGTCATTAATGCATATTACTAGTCTTAGTAACTACTAACTAACTAACTAACTAGTAATGATAGAAGTGTTACCTGAGTACCGGTCATTTCCGAATCAGTAGTGAGTCCTAATAATATTATTATTACTAATAATAATAATAATAATAATAAAAACATAGCAACAAGGAAAATCTTCACACAGTATAGAAGGCATCACCCAAAATCGTCGATTGAAAGATTCTCATTACCAAGACAGAATGGAGGAAGGGGTTTCCAGAACTTAGAAAACTTATATCAGAGACAAATCTCAGATTTGAAGAAGTATTTCTTGAAACGAGCGGAAAGAAATGAAATGTTTCGCACCATCACAAGAGCAGATTTGAACCACACACCCTTAAATCTGTCGAACACCGAAGAAATCCACACCCCCCACACAATAGATAAAATAATAAGTGGACTAAAACAAAAACAACTACATGGAAAATTCTACAAAGACTTAGAAGAAAATCATGTCAATAAGAAGATGTCATTGATTTGGTTAAAAAAATCAAGTTTGTATGCCGAAACAGAAGGATTTGTGTTTGCTATTCAAGACCAAGTAATCAATACCAAGAATTATAGAAAATACATCATCAAAGATCCGAACATAAAAAACGACTGCTGTCGCCTATGCAAAGCAAAACCTGAAACGATCCAGCACATAATCTCTTCTTGCAGCATCCTAACACAAACTGATTACAAAGCTAGACACGACAACGCAGCCAAAATCATTCACAAAGAATTAGCAACACTTATGAACTTAATCGAAGATACGACACCCTATTACACTTACATTCCGTCTCCATTCCTTGAAAATAACAAATACAAATTATACTGGGATCGCACAATACTTACAGACTTAAACATTACAGCTAACAGACCAGACATCATACTTATCAAAAAACACACGAACGAAGCCATTCTCATTGACATTGCTATTCCTAACACAAACAACATTATTCAAACATACGACACCAAGATTTCAAAATATCTACAATTATCGATAGAAATGAAATCCATGTTGAATCTTAAAAAAATTTCAATTCTACCCCTAGTTATCTCTAATGTAGGTGTAGTTCCAAATAGCTTAGTTGAGAATTTAAAGTCTTTGCATTTGAATGATTCAATAATTGTCAAAATTCAAAAAGCTGTTTTGTTAGGAACATGTCATATTGTTCGTAAGTTTCTTGAACAGTCTGATCAAGTCAGTCAGATTAGATTAGCACCAGTAGGTCAGAGTAGTGTAGGTCACTTTTCATGTGATGCGCGGATAAATGGTCGGTAGTTACGCTGGACTTTTGGGGATGGGGTGAGATTAGAGAATAATAGCAGACTAATTTGTATGCTGTAATTCTAGAATCTCGAAAGTTGTTCTGTTAATCTAATCAATGCATATCATTACTTGGTCTTAGTACCCGTAATGATAGAAGTCTTGCCTGAATGCCGGTCATTTCCGGGTCAGTGGTGGGTCTTAAATAATAATAAAACAAAAACAACTGCATGGAAAATTCTACAAAGACTTAGAAGAAAATCATGTCAATAAGAAGATGTCATTGATTTGGTTAAAAAAATCAAGTTTGTATGCCGAAACAGAAGGATTTGTGTTTGCTATTCAAGACCAAGTAATCAATACCAAGAATTATAGAAAATACATCATCAAAGATCCGAACATAAAAAACGACTGCTGTCGCCTATGCAAAGCAAAACCTGAAACGATCCAGCACATAATCTCTTCTTGCAGCATCCTAACACAAACTGATTACAAAGCTAGACACGACAACGCAGCCAAAATCATTCACAAAGAATTAGCAACACTTATGAACTTAATCGAAGATACGACACCCTATTACACTTACATTCCGTCTCCATTCCTTGAAAATAACAAATACAAATTATACTGGGATCGCACAATACTTACAGACTTAAACATTACAGCTAACAGACCAGACATCATACTTATCAAAAAACACACGAACGAAGCCATTCTCATTGACATTGCTATTCCTAACACAAACAACATTATTCAAACATACGACACCAAGATTTCAAAATATCTACAATTATCGATAGAAATGAAATCCATGTTGAATCTTAAAAAAATTTCAATTCTACCCCTAGTTATCTCTAATGTAGGTGTAGTTCCAAATAGCTTAGTTGAGAATTTAAAGTCTTTGCATTTGAATGATTCAATAATTGTCAAAATTCAAAAAGCTGTTTTGTTAGGAACATGTCATATTGTTCGTAAGTTTCTTGAACAGTCTGATCAAGTCAGTCAGATTAGATTAGCACCAGTAGGTCAGAGTAGTGTAGGTCACTTTTCATGTGATGCGCGGATAAATGGTCGGTAGTTACGCTGGACTTTTGGGGATGGGGTGAGATTAGAGAATAATAGCAGACTAATTTGTATGCTGTAATTCTAGAATCTCGAAAGTTGTTCTGTTAATCTAATCAATGCATATCATTACTTGGTCTTAGTACCCGTAATGATAGAAGTCTTGCCTGAATGCCGGTCATTTCCGGGTCAGTGGTGGGTCTTAAATAATAATAAAACAAAAACAACTGCATGGAAAATTCTACAAAGACTTAGAAGAAAATCATGTCAATAAGAAGATGTCATTGATTTGGTTAAAAAAATCAAGTTTGTATGCCGAAACAGAAGGATTTGTGTTTGCTATTCAAGACCAAGTAATCAATACCAAGAATTATAGAAAATACATCATCAAAGATCCGAACATAAAAAACGACTGCTGTCGCCTATGCAAAGCAAAACCTGAAACGATCCAGCACATAATCTCTTCTTGCAGCATCCTAACACAAACTGATTACAAAGCTAGACACGACAACGCAGCCAAAATCATTCACAAAGAATTAGCAACACTTATGAACTTAATCGAAGATACGACACCCTATTACACTTACATTCCGTCTCCATTCCTTGAAAATAACAAATACAAATTATACTGGGATCGCACAATACTTACAGACTTAAACATTACAGCTAACAGACCAGACATCATACTTATCAAAAAACACACGAACGAAGCCATTCTCATTGACATTGCTATTCCTAACACAAACAACATTATTCAAACATACGACACCAAGATTTCAAAATATCTACAATTATCGATAGAAATGAAATCCATGTTGAATCTTAAAAAAATTTCAATTCTACCCCTAGTTATCTCTAATGTAGGTGTAGTTCCAAATAGCTTAGTTGAGAATTTAAAGTCTTTGCATTTGAATGATTCAATAATTGTCAAAAT